TGGAGGGCTGTGTCACTGGCCCTCATATGTGGGATCCGAACCGGGGCCCTCTGGCATCCCAAGCGAGTTCTTAACCATCACGCCACTCGGCCGGCCCGCCTTTGTCATCTCTTAATTAGCTGCTTTTGCCTTTTCTCTTTTCCTGCTGCCTTTCTACTTTTTTTTTTTTTTTGTACGGACTCTTGACATTAGGGAGTAACCACCAATTCTTTCAAGTGCTCGTGGATTTTTAGTAACCAAATGCCTTACCTTATATTTTTATCTTAGAGAAAAAATATTTTGGTTCTTATGTATGACACACATGTATGTAACACTAGAAGTTTAATTAGAAAGAATCATGACTTACTTTGCCAAAATGTCAGATATTAAAGTCATATGGGATGGTGTAAGATTTTTGTTATAAAGGATGAAAGAACAGGAAATTAAGTTTAGAAAATGCAACTTGAGATAATATTTTTCATGTTCATATATATAGGGCAACAATGTCAATTTTTGTTTGTTTAGTTTTTAGTATAGTTATGTTCACATGGCAAGAACCTCAAGTAATAAAGTTATTATTTCTCTTGTGACATTTAGTATCTAAACTGAGATAATTTTGAATTTTCCATCAGATCTTTTTTTTTTTTTTTTTAATCATCTACCTGTCAATCTATACAAGTCTTTCTTCCACTGTGCCGATGGAACTAACCACCCAGAAATGAGTTAGTTGCCAGAGCCACGAGGCCTCGCTCACCATATTGCTTTCAAAGGCCCTTTGTGTTTCTGCCCTGGTCTCCTTCTAATGGCAGGACTTGCAGGTCCTGAACTGGCAGAGATGGAACGTATCAGCATTTCTTAGTTGGAGTGAGGCTGATTGTTTTCCTTTTATCTATCAGATCACTGGTGCAAATTTGTCTTATTTCTTTTAAAACAGTTAATGTTTTATAATTTGCACCTTTGCCCAGGAAGCCTTTATACCGCTTATATTTTCTTTACTTGCTTGTTTTTCTTATTGGCATTACTTCTGTTTCAAGGATAGAGTCCAAGAAAATTAGTGTCCATTTTTTTTTTTTTATGAACAGAAATACAAGGGGCCATTATAGTCCAACATGTTTCTTGGTTGAGAATTTCAGGATTATGTCCTTTTCCTTGTTTGCTTCCTGGAATCCTTAGCCTCTGGCAGGAAACTTCTATGTGTCAGGTCACTGGAAGAGTCTGAGCTTCTCACTAATTTTAAGCATAAATTATCTTTGTTTTTTAACATGTGTAAAGGAGGAACTAAACTTTGGGAACCTACCGTAAAACAAATGTACCTCTGGACGTCTAAAGTAATTGCTCTGAAATTTTTGCTTTTCTTAGCGTGTGGTACAATCTTGATTTCTTCCGGAGTCTGTTCCAGTGTTAGACTGTTTATACACAAGTTGAAGAGAGCTGTTTTACTTCCTGTGTAGCCGGCCAGCTTTCTGTCCGATAAGGTGTTGCCATATTTACCACCAGTCCTCTTCTGGGTCACTGAGAGAAACTCTTCTACAGGGCCACCCAGAAATGAGTGTTACAACGTCTGGTTGTAGAGTGGGTGTTAAACTTCATGCAAGTAGCCAGGAGCTTGACTGAACTATTGCATGACTTCCACACTAATTTTTAAGTGTCTTTATTTAGAAAATGGCAATTTAAAAGGAAAAGATATACTTGTGTTGCCTCTTGACCTGACTGACATAAGTTCCCATGAAGCGGCTACCAAAGCGGTTCTCCAGGAGTTTGGTAAAGTAAGTAGCATTTTGAATTGATGTCTTTTTAAAAAAGAATTTATTTATTTTTGGTTACAGTTGACATTCAGTATTATTTTACATTGAATTGCTAAGTCTGGCTTTGAAGTAGCTGCTAGAGAGATTCCCATCTGTGGTGCATTAGGTAAATGGCTCAATGCAGTGAGTGATATCAAGGCCCATGAGTTGGGCCTCTTAATCTCTTGAGTCTTTGTGTAATTAGTACTTTTCATACCTTAACAAGTACTAACTCCTCCATGTAAAACAAAAGGAGCTAAAAATTCATTGTGCCTTTTATTTTATTGACACTTATTACTTTCCATAAAAAAAAAGTCACTTAAAATAGGAATTTAATTCCATAGGTGAATTTTGGTTTTTATTTTATCTTTTTATTGCTGACTTCTGGAAATACACCATTCTGTTCCAGTGAGTCTTTAAATTAACAATATAAGCAACCGTCCCAAGGAATTCATTCCTTCAACCCACCTATAGGTCACCCTCAAACTGCCCCTTTTCTAATTTTATTTAACTAGATCGACATTCTGGTTAACAATGGTGGAAGATCCCAGCGTTCTTTGTGTGTGGAAACCAGCCTGAATGTCTACAAGGAGCTGATAGAGCTTAACTACTTAGGGACAGTGTCCTTGACAAAGTGTGTTCTGCCTCACATGATCGAGAGGAAGCAAGGGAAGATTGTGACTGTGACCAGCGTCCTGGGTGTCATGGCTGCGCCCCTTTCTAGTGGGTATTGTGCCAGCAAACATGCTCTTCAGGTAAGGCTGCTCAAACTCAACTTTGATAGAACCGACCTAAATGTATATGGGGGATTTGGCCATCACTGAAAGCAGCCATTGGAACTGGGCAGCGATGTGGAGAGACAGAAAGAGAGACCCAAGGAGACCTGTGGCAGGGACACCCCCAGAAGATACTGAAAAAGACACATGCCTCTTCCTAATTCAACAGACACGTATTGAGCACCTCCACTGTGCCATGTACTGCAACAGATTCTGGGGATATAAATATGAAAAGATAGGTCCCTGCCCTCAAGAAGTGTATAGTCTAGTCAACATGGCACTCTTCACCTCATTTCTACCATGTCTTCATTGCAAATTTGGGGTCTACTCACTTCACACACTTCAGGATATAGTTTTCCTCCCCATTTCTGTGATTTCTTTCCTTTTCCCTTGTAGGTGGGGTTTATTTTACCTATCCTAAATATATAAGCATGTCAGAAATAGGAACTGCCCACTGGATGTTTAGACCTGGGCTTTATATCCCTACTGAGACTAGCTTTGACTCTTTTACTCTGGATTCGTTGGAAGAAGAAAATCTAGTTAGGGTACAGGTTAGGAGAAAAGCTTGATTTGGGTTGCTTAACTTTTGAGATGCGAATATTAGAAATGAATCAATTTTTAATGTTGGCTTAAGAGTGGATATGAAGAAATGTTATTAAGCTATAACATGGAACAAATTAAATTATAAGGCCAAGAGGAGGAGAATGATTAAAGGAGAAACATAATTTATAATTAATGCAGTTGAAGGTCAGTTTACAAAGAATGTTTCACTGTTGGAATAAGGAGATACAATAGCTGAAAGATCATCAGTTTCATAAAAATTTGAATCTTTGGTTGCTTAGGACATCCTCTTTCTGCTGTGAAAAGCAGACAGTTGCAGAGTGATGAAATGAAATGCTATGCTGATGTCCTCATATTCGGTAATAGGGTACCGGTCACTTCTTGCAGAGCGGTTGGGCAAGTCTCAGGCTGGTAGATGAAGGAAAGAGGCTACCCATCTGTTAGGCACCCACTATCTCATAAGACATGCAGGATGCATTCCGTCAAACACAATATAAGTTGTCTGGTCCGCCCTCCAAGACTCGTTTTATTACAGGATTTGATCCTCTGACACAATGTGGTAGGTGGAGACTAGTTAGTTATACCAGTAGCTGATCCCTGAGACCAGGAGGCTCTTTTGGAAGAGCACATTTCCTTCTCTGTTTCCCAGTAAGCTATAGAGTGAGCTTGTTTATCATTGAAGAGTTCACATGCTATACGAGCTGTGATTTCAAACAAGGAGAGGTTTTAGTGTCTGATGTATTGGTTCTCATGGGTCCTTTCTCCTCTTTTGCAGAGGTTAAGGGTATGGGAGTTTATTCATTTGAGACTTTTTGCCTGTTCGTCTGAGTCAGGCACTGTATTAGTCTCTGACAGCATGAACCCTCGTAGGCCCTGTGTTTGTTAGGGGTCAGCCTTAAGGACTGGTAATTATTTAAAGTTTTGGGATCAGATATGAATGTACCCTGGGTTAGCTGTTTAGGCTTTTCAGTAGTTAACTAAGCTTATAACAATGTAGTCTTGGAACATTTTTTAATTTAGAAACATAGATGAGGGGAAGTAGATGTTTACTCCCTATTTGGTTTAGAAATGGCCAGTATCTTTAAGTCAAGAGGGTCTTATTACTCAGAAAAGATGGATGTTGGCTGCAACTGTCTTTTAAAATAGTAATAAAATAGAAAATGGTGAATTCTTCCTTGATGAGAGTTTCTGTGAAGTACTAATCCGCTGTTAATCCCTCTTGCCCTGAATCGGCACTTTACACCACTTAGATAAAAAAAACCAAACCTGAGTGACTCTCAGTGGAGAATATGCACCCCTTTTGGAGAGGGGAGCTGGGGGTTGGTATAAGGGGGGTGTAGCAGGATCTCCAGGGGTAGTTTTTCACCTATCCAGTGCTTGCCTGCCATGAAAATCGCTGGTGGCATGAGTCACCACTGCCAAAGGGGTGACTCATTCATACCCGGAAAGAGCTAAGAATGCCTGTTCTAGATGCCTCCAGTTTTACGGTTAAAAATGCCTAATAAGCTTGCACGATTACATTTCCTGTCCTTTACTTGGGCATTTCAGAACATATTTTGATAACGTGCTGCTATTGTTCTTCATAAAAGTTGAAGTATTTTCATGCTAATATGTCTGTATTTAATTAATTAATTTATGTGTGTGCCTATTAGGGTTTTTTTAATGGCCTCCGAACTGAACTTGCCTCATACCCAGGTATAGTAGTTTCTAACATTTGCCCAGGACCTGTGCAGTCAAATATTGTGAAGAATTCCCTAACTACAGAAGTCACAAAGGTAAAAATTTCTCGTTGGCATATAATTTGAATGCTTTAGTAGCTATATATTGATGTTGTATCGCTGTGCCTCAGGGTTTTCATATTAGAATTGCTTATGGCTTATTTACAAAACTTAACTCATTAAGTGGCATTAGGAAAATTGGTAGGGTTGGCTGATAATGCTTTGGCAGCCAGTTTTAATAACGGCTAAAGAAATTGCTAAGATACTGCTTGTAAGTAATCTAATATTATGTGATTTGAAAAACCCCGTTTCTGTCAATTCACAAATTATAGCAATATTGAAAGGTTCTGTGTGGCTGAATTTTAGTACATTAAACCTTAATGGGCTTTTAAGGAGGAATTTTGGTGAAAAAGCTTAGAAAAAGCCTTGTTGAATTGTGATAATTTTAGGTGAGCCTCACCCAAGGCTGTGCTTCCCTCAGCTCACAGATTACACATAGTAATTTATCAAATGAATAGCAAATGTCTTATGAAGAACCCAGTATCACTCAATAATACAAAATCCCTCTAAAGACCATGAAATTTTCCTTCTTTTCCATTAAGATTTATTTCTCCTGAGACATAAATCTGTATATGTTTCTATGTAAATGTTTACAGGTATAATTTGTATTTTCACATTTTTGTGGAGGCTCTAAGGTAAAATAGAATAAGCACCCAATTATAGGAATCAAGGGACTTGGGATGTAGACCTCATTATTACAATGATCTGTGTGAACACAGATGAGGTACTATCTTTCTGGGCGCCTCAGTTTATTTCTTTATAGAATGGTAGTGGGTTACCTAGATTTGCAGTATCAGATTTGTTCCCTACCAAAAAACCACTTATCTTTTTCCTCCATTTCACCCCCATGGACTCTATATTTTATAGAATTTCATTTGTTAAATGTATGTGTTAATAATTTGTTTAAATTTTCTTATTACTAAAGTGATATGTAATTATTATTAAGTACATTAAGATGATACAATCCGAGTTGAAAGCAAAAAACCTCTATCTTTTACTTAGTCTGTGCAATTTTATGTGTAAGTGTCTGATTCCTGTTAGGCTTTTTGACATATTACAAATAGCTAACAGATACCCATTAGTATCTGTGGGGACTCCTAAGGGGCATAAAGTCACATTAAAGGAGTCACTCAGTACATGACTTCTGGGTCCTTTCTAGCTTAAGAGTTCGGTGAAATACCTTGGATAAATACTCAGCATTCTCTTAATTCTTAAAAAAATGTCTTAGCCTCTAGGTAATGATGGAGACCAGTCCCACAAGATGGCAACCAGTCGTTGTGTGAGGCTGATGTTAATCAGCATGGCCAATGATTTGAAAGAAGTTTGGATCGCCAAGCATCCTTTTTTGTTAATGATATATTTGTGGCAATATATGCCAACCTGGGCCTGGTGGATAACAAATAAATTAGGGAAGAAAAGGATTGAGAACTTTAAGAAAGGTCTGGTAAGAATGATTTATACATTTCTTTTTGTTGTCTTTTTTTTGGGGGCTGGGGTGGGGAAAACAACAGTCACCTTTCTTTAATTAAGTAGCAGTTTGACTTTGATTTTATACATTTTCTATATTTCTTAATACATATCAATGTTGTAGGAAAGTACGAAATTTGCTAGTGCTTAAAAACTTTGCTTACTGACCTTCCACCAACCTTACCATATAAATACAAAAGATAAAAAGAACTCTATCTCCCAACCATATCTGTTGGTTTACTATAAATTACTACTGGTCTTAGAGAAAGAACTTTTCTACAAGGTGAAGTCAAAGGTTGGCATTTTTCTTCTACACTTATTGTTTGACCAGTGTATGTGCCAAATGCTCTTTCTTCTCACAAACTCCTATGCATCCTAAAGTTCAGCTCTGGTGTCACCTTCTTGAGTTGATACCTAGCCTCCCATCTAATTTCTCCCCAGAATTATGTGAACCTCAGCTCCATGCTTACCTCTGTTAAAGCACTTAACTATGCTTTTTTTTTTTAATGTTTTTTAAGCTGAGCCGTCCTGCTACCTATTGGCAGCTTAGCGGCAGCTCAGCTCGGGCCAGGACTCGAACCGCTGTTGCTCACAGCTCAAACTCTTGAGCGAGCTCTTAACCAACTGAGCATCTCGGCTGGCCTTAACTATGCTTTTAAAACAGATGTGCTCTCACTCCATAGTACTGGTTCTTTTGACTTGTTCCGGAAGTGCTCGGCCTATCTGAGATGTGCCTATGTTCATATCTAAGAAAGTACATTGGTCACTCATCCTTATAGAAAAGCGAGGAATATTATGAACTATTTCAGAGAAAATTGTGACCATCGAAAGAGTATAATGTATAAACAGCACAGGAAATACAATGAGTTAAGCCAAAAATTATAGCTATGATTATGCAAAGAAAGGTTATTTCTGTAGATGGTTTTTCTTGTAGAAGTATTTCTTTCAATGATTACTACATTAAAAAAAATAAGTTAGTAGGGATTGATATTCAAAGAGAATTACAAAATGGGATCATACCATATGTATCATTATATGACCTACCACTATTTAAGCAATCCATCAGTTGTTAGATGTTTAAATTTGCTCCAACTTTTGGCAGGACAGTAAAAATGAATTAGTGACAAAACCAAAAAAACCCCAACAAAACAAAATGCTTAGAGACCTAAAGGTTATAAAACTTCCCATGATGCACCAACCTGTCCAGAGCTTGAAAAATCACGAAGGTTGGGGGGCTATACATTTTCTACCAACTTGTACTGTGGAGCAGCTTTGGGCCAGGTCATTTATAAATGCTTTGGTAATTTTAGGGTTTGGTAGTGTGGGTGGTTCTAAAGGCAGAACTTCATCAAAGATGACATCTGAGTTTTAAATTTGGAGTACAGCTGATATAGTGGTATTGTGCCCAGTGATGGATAAGAGTTGAGAGGGAAAGGCCACCTTTATGACAGCTGACACAGCATTCTAGTGCTGGGTTACATGAGTTGAAATCCCAGCTCTACCCTATTAATAGGATTGTTATGGGGATAGAATGAGTTAGTATATTGGAAAACTCTTAAAACACACCTTGGAGTATTATGGTTATTAAGGATTAGCTGCTAATACTTTCGTTTTGATGGTAGCAGTATATTGAGCTAATAGATAGTAAAGATCGAAGAATTAAATGATAGGGTAGGGAGACAGTACATTTTCGAAATAATTGTTTCAGCGGGGAAAGAAGGAACAGGGGCTAGAGTTTCAGTCCCACTATAGCAGTTGTTCTTTCAGGAATGCCCATAAGAAAGTTATTTTGTTTTGTTTACAGAATATATAACTGTAAAGTATAAACATTACACAGTAAATATAACATTTGATTACATTTAATCTTTGCTAAAAATGATGACCTTTCACTTTCTACCTTAATATATTGCTTCTTATGTGGTCTTAATTACTTTATTTATTTTTTAATGATAAACTAGGCATCTTTTCATTTGCCAGTACCATTTCTGAGATAGAATACCTCATTCTTTACACAAAATCACAGAAACTTTAAAAATATTTCTCTGTTTTTACTCAATTCCCTCCTCCCTGTATCTTTCCTCCATTTAGTTATTTTATATTGTCTATATCCACGTCCTTGTTGCGTGTTGTTTATGGGTATCTAAGTGAAGAGAATACCAGTTTAGGTTATCCCAAACTAAACATACTTGGTGATAAGACTTGAATTTGTTTCTGTTCTTTAGGCTAGGAACAGTATGTCAAGAACTTTGGTTTGATGAATCTATATTATTTTTAGGGATCAAGAACAATAGCTGCGTTGAATTTTGTGTTGTAATTTTTGTCTTAATGCAAGTTCTTGGAAGTAGTAAACACGTATATTCCCAAATGAAATGTCTCATCTGAGGGATCTTGAGTTGCCTTGTTTTACATTTTAAACAATATACTAAAAGGTCACAAATCATTTTAGAGTTATCTGTCAAATGTTTCAATTGTAAATACTCTGATTCTTTGTAATTAATTAAGGCAGGTCAGTGTAGGTATGATATGCTTCTTTAAAAAGTAATACTAGAGGGCCGGCCGAGTGGCGTGTTGGTTAAGAACTGACTTGGGATGTCAGAGGGCCCTGGTTCAGATCCCACATATGAGGGCCAGTGACGCTGCCCTCTACAGCTAAGATGCTGAACAACAGCTCAACCTGGAGCTGGGATGCCGTGAGTCGCCGGCTACAGCTAGGCTGAACCCCCTGCTACAGTGGGTTGCCATGGGCTACCGTGTGTAGCCAGCAGCCAGCGTGAGTGGTCAGCAGCCGCTGTGAACGGCCATCCAGAAGCCGGCGACTGATCTGCCTTGCCCGGGAAGAGCGCAATGATGGTGCCAACTTGGGCCAGTGAAGCAACGTCCTCCACAACTAGACTGAAGAACAAAACGACAGCAACTTGTCTGTTCCCCTTTCCCCAATTCCCCAGCGCTGTTCCCATCCTCCAATTCCCCAATAAAAATCTTAAAAAAAAAAAGTAATAGAGATTTCAGCATTTACAAAATGATATGAGTAGATGCTTAACCAGTGATAGAGGAGATAATGATGCTAACTAAGCCTATTAAAGATATTTCTGTGTAGATGTAGAATTTTAGCTATGACTTTTATTCTAATTTAAGCATTTGCTCAGGTTTTGTAAGGATTCTCAACAGTGAATCATAATGATATAGCTCCTCAAAACAGAAGGAATTACTTGTCAAAAACTGGAGTAAATACAAGGAGGGACTGATTCATGTCACTGTCATTGTTTACAGGATGCAGATGCTTCTTATTTTAAAATCTGGAAGACAAAACATGACTGAAGGAGTACTTGCCTTTTTCAAGCCACTGGAGGGAGAAATGGAAAACATGAAAACAGCCATCTTCTTATGCATTGAAGACTAACTTGCGGTTTTACTTCTTAATAGATAGAACTTTCAACATGTCATAAATAAAAAGTTGCCATAATCTTTCAATAAAGATAGTAATACCTACAGCATGCTTGGATAAAAGAGCATTTTAACATACTGTAGCATTATGCTTAAGATCTAGATCAGCAGAATGCTAACCAAAGAAGTACAGCAATCCATTTAACATAAAAGTATGGAATAATACATGAAGCAGAGTGCTGGGTAATGACAAAATATAAAGAAAAATCTGAAACGGTCCTGTCTCCAAGGCACTCTCTTAGAAAAATTGACAGGCACAAATGACTGTAATTTGAAGCAGTAAATAGGACTCTTAGTAGCCATAATTTATTAAATGCCATTTGACCTATTATATGCCATTTGTTGTACTGAGGTGCTTTGTATTGGTTAATTCATTTATTCCTCAACAGCACACTAAGGTAGTTGGTATTATCCATCTTTAGAGATGAAGAAAGAGATGCCCAGAGCAGGTAGGTGTTTCTTTCCCAAGGTCACAGAGCTAGTAAGGCGGAAAAGTCATGATTTAGCTCAGCTCAGGAAGACTCCATTGGTAACTCCTTACTCTAATTATTATAATTCATTTTACTTTAATCTTTAGCACCTTACAGTAGAAAACATGCAATGGCCACAACAGGAAATCAAATATTCCTTAACTCTCTACTGTCAAGGGGTTGTAACAGGAGAAGAAAAACATGGTTCTTCTTTAGAAGCAGTTAACAGTTTAGCTATTACCAAGGTAACATAGATAAAATAACTGTGGAATAGTTGTTGAGGAAGTTGCAAGTCACCCTGGTGGCTATTCTTGGGAAAGGGGGAAGGTGATAATGTGGTGGAGGTACATCATGGGGTATAAAATCAACAGAAGAAACACATACATGCATACACAGCAACATGGATATATCTTAGAAGCATGGTGATGAGTTAAGTAAATGAACTATAACAGTTCTGTTTATATACACTTAAATTTATGTGCATAGACGGTAGTGCTTGTTTTGCAAGAAAACATACAATGAAAAGATAAGCATTAGATGTATTATAATGGCTGCTTAGGATGGGGAGAAGAATGGAGGTGTTCTGTTGGGGGTAAAATGTAATAAACAAGAAAGGGCTCTTGTACAACCAGTGATGGAAATGATGATTAATTGAATACACACTGCACCTGGGGTAAAAACAAAAAACGAATTGTTGGAAGAATTCTAGAATGCTACAAGATAACACATATGTCATGTGGCATGCAAATATCAGTAGTTCCGAAGAGGAAGTGATTTGCAGATAGTGTAGAAAGTCTTTGTGGAGAAGGTGTGACTTCCACTGAGCCTGGAAAGGGTGGAATTCCCACTGAGGCTGCAGGAGATGGGGTCCAGGTCAATTTTGTTGTACTTGTGTCATTGAACCTCCAGGGCTTGGCATTGTGTTTGCCAGTGTTTAGGGCTTGTTGGGATTATGTAAGCCCGGCATTCTTTGCCTCCAGAATGTCATGAGTGAAAATTTAGACTGAAATTAGCATAGTTTGGGAATGGGAAAATGAGTTCAGTTTGCTCAATTACTCCAGCCAATGAAGGGTAGAAGAGATATAAATTAAAATTTTAGAAATTCATCTGTATGGTGTTTTTCTATGGTATGTAATTAATACACACTGTTCTGTGTATAAACCCTGTTTCTTCCTTAGGTTCTTTTGTCAGCAGCCGGAGATGGAAAGGCAGATTTTTGTCAAAGTTTATTTTGTTAAAGGTAGTCAAGAGCTGTGAAACCGAGTGTTCACATATTGAGTTTTTAAAAAGTGGTTATTTTGCACTGACATCTCATTTCCTAATTATTATCTCGAATGGCCCTTTGAAATAGGAAGGAAATGGTGTGCTCATTCTAGCGGTGCTGAAGCTGAGGCATAGATGGGGTTGTGCAAGAGCAGAACTGGTAAGTCGGGAGAAGAGTTCCCAGTAGAAGCTATGGCTTCAGGGTCAGACTGGGTACACCAGTAAGTCACATGAGGCCTCAGTTAATCAGTTATTCAGAGGCAGATTTAATGAACATTCTATTATTTTTAACACCTGTTTTGAAGTATAATTGATGTACAATAAACTGCACTTATTTAAAGTACACAATTTGGTAAGTTTTATCTTTCTCTTCTTTTGCCTTATTACACTTTTCCCCTCAGTTAGCTTAGTAGTTATATACTTGTTGTTTTTTTTTAATTTTAGTGGTTATCTATAGATGATACAGCAAAATCTAATTTACTTGGTGCTTTTAACTTCTTTCTGAATAACACAAAGATCTAGAACTTTGTGTTAACTTCTGCACCAACTTGTATTCTATTATTGCCATGTATTTTAACATTTATTTTAACCTCCAAACTATTTTATATCATTAGTAATATAACCATATAATTACCTTTGTTATTACTGTTCATTCCTTCCTGTATCCCTGAGCTGTTTCTGGATTATTTTCCTCTGTATGAAAAATACTCTATTACTTGTTTCCTTTTATGAGAACCTGCTATTGAATTTATTGTGTTTGAAAGTGTCTTTACCTTCATTCTTAAAGAGTTGTTTTGGGGGGAAAGGCTGAGTATAGAATTCTGTTCGCAGTTACTGTTTTTTTAGCAAATTTATCATTCCAATGATTTCTGGTTTCTGTATTTTCTATTGAGAAGTTGTCAATTTAATAAAATTGTTGCTTCTTTGATAATGTCTGTTAGGGCTTGCTGGCTGCTTTTATGATTTCCTTTTTATATATTTTTTCTTGATGTTAGGGTGTAGCTTTAGTTATCTTGCAGGGATTGATGGCCCTTAAAAGGGTGACAAATTTTCAGTCATTATCTCCTCAAATATTGCTTCTGCCACTTTCTCCTTTCCTTCTGGAATTCTAGTTACTTGTATGTTAGATTGTCTCATGGTAACCTGATATACTCTTATACTCGCATTGTATTTTCCATTCTTTTTTGTCAGTTTTCATATCAGATATTTACTACTGACCCAACTTCTAGTTCACTAATTCTTACATTAGCTGTGTCAAGCTTCTATCAAATCTATTCACGGCGTTCTTTAACTTGACTTGATTGATGTATTTTTCAGTTTGGGACTTGTCAATTCGCCTGTCTGGTTTCTAATTCTCTGCTGAAACTTTCAATCTTGTGTTCTATATCTTTAAATGTACCAAACAGCATAATTTTCAAGCCTGTGTTTAAAAACTCCATTATCTGGGGCCGGCCGAGTGGCGTGATGGTTAAGAGCTGGCTTGGGACGCCAGAGGGCCCCGGTTCGGATCCCACATATGAGGGCCAGTGACACTGCCCTCCATAGCTAAGATGCTGAACAACAGCTCAACCTGGAGCTGGGCTGCCATGAGTTGCCGGCGACGGCGTAGGCTGCAGCCCCTGCTGCAGTGGGTTGCCATGGGCTACCGTGTGTAGCCAGCAGCCAGCGTGAGCGGCCAGCAGCCGCAGTGAGCGGCCGTCCAGAAGCCGGCGACTCCTCTGCCTCGCCTGGGAAGAGCGCAATGATGGTGCCAACTTGGGCCAGTGAAGCAACGTCCTCCACAACTAGACTGAAGAACAAAAGGACAGCAACTTGTCTGTTCCCCTTCCCCCAATTCCCCAGCACTGTTCCCTTCCCCCCATTCCCCAATAAAAATCTTTAAAAAACAAACAAAAAACCCAACTCCATTATCTGGATCCCTCGTGGGTCTGTTCCGATTGTCTGTCATTTCTCTTGGATTTTGATCATGTCTTATTTCCTCAAGTGCTTTATTTTAGGTTGTCCAACATTAAATATGAAAAATTGTAAAAATAACTTTTAAAAGATCAGTCCAGAGAAGATTTACATTTGCTCTGGGTAGTGGCTAGGGACACTAGAAATCCAGGGTCACTTTAATCCAGTTTTAGGGATTGAGAAGATTCAAACTGCATCTCTTTTTGTTCTCCCTTAAAATTAGGATGTAGTCCTTGAGGTCTCAATCTAATGTGTGGTCAGTTACAAGGGTGTCTGTCTCCAGAATTTAGAGGTCATGTAGAAAAGGAAAAGCAGAAGAGCTGACTGAAGAGTAGCCAGGGAGTTGGGAAGAAAACAAAGATAATACGGTGTCAGGGAAGCCCAAAGGGAAAAAAGGTGATTCAGGGAATGGTCAAATACGTCAAATGCTACTCAGAGGACAAATAAGATGAAAATATAAAAGTAATTAGTTGGTTTGACAATATGAAGGTAAATAGTAACCTTAGTAAAAATTTTATTTGGAACAGTAGAAATGGAACCCAGACTGGAATGGTTTGACAAGTGGATGAAAGATGAGGAAACTTGGCCATGAATAAAATAGACATGGCAACAGTTTGAGGAGGATGCAAGGTAAAGAGAATTATGATAATAGTAAAAATCTTTAAACAACTTAAAATGTGCATTGTTTGTTACATCTATCAATGTTACACACTCATTAAAACCAATAATTACAAAAAGTGTTTTTAGTATGAGAATATGTTCATAGATGACAAAAATACATAAAATTGTTCAGCCAGTAAAATCTCATGAACTCATTAATTGAAAATGTCCAAAAAGTTATCCTTTAAACATTGTTGGACTGAACTGTTCTACATAATAAATGGAATAATAATAAAAATCTCATACCAGTACATTTCAAATAATTTCCATTATTTTTAAAAAGCATGTATTACTGTATTCCCAGCATAGAAGGCTACTATAGATTTAATTGTAAATAAAGGGGTAGAAGAAATCCATGTCTCAAGTGATGCAGATTCACTCATTGTTCATCCTCCTTGTAAGTACCTGTAAAAAGTTGGTAAGCAGCTAGAGAATGAAAATAAAATCCTAATAACATTATGAAAAATTTTCTTTGTTTCTGCCTTTAGTTCAGATACCTTAAGACACTAGTAACTGGTACTCCCATTGGGTAAGTCTTCAGAAGCAGTGAATTCATCTGAAAAATGCATAAGGAGCCAGATCTATAGAATGGTCTCTAGCAGTCATACTCAGATTACTCTAATGTTGCTAATCCTGTGAGTTGAATGATGAATGGGATAAATCCCTTTCCTTTCAGATACATCAAAAGATACATAGAAAATATTTTATTGGAAGAGATTTTATTAAATTTTTTTGAGGTTTTTGAATTAAAAGTATGTGAAAAAAATGAACAATTATATAAAAACAATCAGACCATGTTAAAACAGCACAGTTTGAAAATACTATAAAATTTAATTGTATTTCAAATAAATATATATACATTAACCATCAAAGGCATCCATTATCATTACTCCAAAACACTGATATGTGTATCGTTTTGGTATGGGAAAAGTACATAGCTATTGACTTTTGTAGGCAAGTCACCTATCACACATTCAAGAAAGCATTAAAAAATTTAATCTTCTACAAATGTTTTATATTTACCAAAGCTTACCACAATCCATAGGGCATAAATATTGACCAACAGTTCTTTTACATTAGACATAAAGTTGTTTTTTAACTATTAAGAGAGCTAAGAGAATCAACTTTATAGAGCTTAGTTTTTCTGAGTCATCTGACTTGAGGGAGGAGAGAAGGAAGTTCAGGGAAGTTATGAGACATTACAATGTTCTTCTAGAATGAAAAAATAGACATTTGATGACAATACATTTAGAAGTCAAAATGAGCTCTAATATAAATGTATATGGACAGGTTTTGAAGAATAAATGGGATATCCCAGGGGAGGATCAGCTGCTTGTACTGTGAGGTTTCTTAAAAGTAGTGGATCTGCTTGTATACTGTAACGTTCCTCGTCATCGTTTGTGGCATAAAGCAGTTCCCATGAAAGATTGGCCCACTGACCTCTAACAGCTTCAGTATTTAACTTCCCAACATGGACCAATAATTCTTGAAGGGTAAGTACTCTCCCAGTGTAAACTCCCTTTAAAGTATAAAAAGGGTGAGGGAGGGGAGAAAAAAAGATTATATTCAGGCCTTTATATTTCATTTATAAGCAGAAAATAATTCCATTGTGTTGAGGCAAACTTAAACAGAAAGTAGTGTATTAAAATGTACACACGAGTTGCTTGTCTTCAGAATCAAGAATCATCTCTATTTCATAACTCTGAATAAGTATGAGAGGAAAAATTCCCAAACAGCCATTTCACTCAATGAACAGGACAGCAAAACCTCACCACTTCTCTCCTTCTCTATTCTTGCATCCCATCTGGCCTCAGCAATGCGTAAGTCATAAATACTAGTCAGTGGACAATCCACATAGGTTGTTTTAAAACACAGCTTCAGAGTTATAATTCACATTCCATACAATTTACTTACGCACAGTGTACAACAGATTTTTTGGTATATTCAGATATACACAACTATCACCAATTTTAAAACACTTTCAAGACCTCAAAAAGAAACCTTGTACTCTAGCGATTACACTCATCGCTTCATTCCCCCAGTCCTAAGCAACCAGTAATGAACTTTCTAGCTATATAGATGTGCTTATTCTGGCAGTTTCATAAAGCACATAATATGTGGTCTTTTATGACTAGCTTCTTTAACTTAGCATGTTTTCAAGATTCATTCATGTTGTGGAAAGAATCAGTACTTTGCCATATACCAGAAGCGATGTGTGACATGGGGCCTTTCCGTTGTAATCATAAAACACAGTGAATGCTGCTGCTGAGTGCCATCCAACAGAAAGGCAGGGATCTTCAATATGGGAAGCAGCACATTGAACCTTGGTCACCATGTGTGACAAGTTTCAACTTGTTCAGTGCAATCAGGTGGGGGCTATGGTTGAGAGAAGGTGTGTTTTAAAGTGAGCCATAGGTCATCCTCCATCATGACAACGCTCCATGTCACACATTGCTTCTGATACATGGCAATTTCTGTCAAATAAAAAATTATGGTGTGTCCTCATCCACCTTATTCACCGGATCTGGCACCGTGCAACTTCTGGCTCTTCCCCAAAGTCAAAATGATTCAGGACATGGAGGCAGCCATGACAACTCAACTAAAGACACTCATGAAAGAGGACCCAGACCTTCAGAAAGTGGCAAGATGATGAGATACGTATGTTTGAAGAGGAGGAGTATTTTGAGGGGGATTAATGCTAATGTGTCTGTAATAATTTTTTTATTTTATTTAAACATTCACTGTATTGTTTGATCACACCTTGTATCTGTCTTTCTCTGACACTCCACTCAGCACAATACCCTCCATATCCATCCATGCCACTGCAGATGACAAGAACCCATTCCTTTCCATGGCTGAGCAATATTCCATTTATATATGTACTACATCCTGTTTATCCATTCATCCATCGATGGACACCCAGGCTGCCTCCACATCTTGACCATTGTAAACAATGCTGCAATGAACATATGGATGCACACGTCCTCTCCAAGTAGTGTTTTGTTTCTTCAGATAATACCCACAAGTGGGATTACTGGGCCGTTCTTTGTCTCTTGATATGGCCTTTGATTTAAAGTCTATTTTGTCTGGTTTAAGAATTGCTACCCTGCTTTTTTTTGTTGTTTTTTTTTGTTTGTTTTCATATTCATAAAATATCTTTTTCCATTCCTTTGTGTCTTTCAATCTGAAGTGAGTCTCTTGTAGGCAGCATATGTAAGGGTCATGTTTTCTTATCCATTCAGACCTCCTATGTCTTTTGATTGGAACACTTACTTAATCCAGTTACATTGAAAGTAATTGTTGATAGATATGTAGCTATTGCCATTTTATTATTCATAATTTTGATCTTGTTTTTTCCATCTTAAAGAAGTTCCTCTAACATTCCTTGTAATACTGGTTTGGTGGTGATGAACTCCTCTAGCTTGTTCTTGTTTGGGTAGCTCTTTATCTGTCCTTCAATTCTAAATGATAGCCTTGATGGTTCGAGTACCCTTGGTTGTAGGTCCTTGTCTTTCATTACATTGAATATTTTGTGCCAATCCCTTCTGGCCTGCAAAGTTTCTGTTGAGAAATCGCTGATAGCATTATGAGAGCTCCCTTGCTTTTTTGTCTGCTTATTTTGGCTGCCTCTGTGTTTTGTTTCTGGGTATCAGGTAGATCTGTCTCCCAGTCTTGGCCAGGTGGCCTTATGTAGTGGGTGCTCCAAGAGTGTCCCTTGTGTGGGTTGTGTGTGCCTTCCTGTATAGTTGAGCCTTGACTGCTATCAGCATATCAGTGGGTGGGATTGACCTTCAGGCTGACTTGGTTGTGGGGTTTGGCACACCCACAGCTTACAGGCTGCTTTGGTGGGGGTTTAGCCATACTGAATGGGATTTGCTTCAGAAGACTCAGGTGCCCGTTGAGACCTCCCTTTGTGTGTGCTGCTTGTGGGGCTAATTGGGCAGTGCTCTACTGTAGTCTGAAGTGAATCTCCAAGTATGTTGGTACAGGGCCTCCTGGGAGGGGCTTCAGTCACCCACTGCCTGTGACTGGCCGGGGAGTACCTGGTAGGAGCTACAAAGTTGTATCCGCAGTTGTTTGCTGCCCGTGCTAAACGTAGAGGCTCATGGGAGAGGCTGTGCCATGAACTGAGGACAGCTGCCACCAGTACCGGGCCTGGGGTAACTTTGCAAAAAGCCAATTTTGGGTGAGGCAGGGGCTCAGGGAGTTACTAGAATGGGAAGAGTTGTGGTTACCAGGTTAATGTAGATTCTGGTTTGGTGCCAGTGCTGAGCCTGGAGCTACTCAGCAAAAGTATCATAGCACATTGAGGCCAGTCTCTGCCCACCCAGAGCCCATGGACTCCGATAGTTTTCCAAGAAAGAGTGCATTGTGGGCAGGGCTAGCTGCTTTTTAAGAAAGTGCCTTCTGCGTTGACTGAGTTGGTTAGGGAGGGGTCCCAATGAGTCAGCAGGATGGAGCAGCAGAGCTCACCAGACCAATCAGATTCAGATTTGACATGTGGGGGCGGGCTCAACACAAGAAAGATGGCGTCTGCTTGCCGGCTGCACCGGACAACTCCACACAGGGAAAATGGCGACTGTCCTCCAGACTTCATCTCAAAGCCTAACACCTCAGTGTGCCCCCCACCTCTGATGCCCCCTAAATCACCGTCCTTCTGCTGGAGCCCAGAGTAAGTGCTTGCGAGCGTGTGAGTCTGTGCGTGGGCCCTTTAAGAGGACGGCTAGCTTTCCCACTGCCTTCCATTTCACCCATCAGTCAGAATCCCCATTGTTTTTCGCAGCCAGGTGTTGTGGGGGCACCTCTTCCTGGCACCAGTACTCTAGGCTGGGAAGTCTGGTGTCGGGCTTGGGTTGCTTGCCTCTCCAGGGGTAACCTCCAAGGCTGAGATATCCCTTCTGATTCTCAACCGCCACACGGAGGTTTGAGGCCCATTCTGCGTCTCCACCCCTCCTACCAGTCTCGACGTGGCTTCTTTATATCCTTAGTTATAAAACTTCTATTTAGCTAGACTTCAGATGATTCTCCAGGTTGGTTGTTCTATAATTTAGTTGTAATTTTAATGTGTTCACGGAAGGAGGCAGGCATAGTGTTTATCTACTCCGCCATCTTGGATCTTTCTCTCTCCCTCCCCTTTTAGTCATTATTTTTCTCTCTTTTTTGGATTGCATAATCTCTATTGATCTAGAATATTCCAGTTCACTAATTCTTTCTTCTTCCAGTTGTTGCTTCCCTCTAGTGAATTTGTCATTTGGTTCTTTTTATTTTTTTAAAATTAATTTCTATGTGTATTGATATTCTTTATTTGATGTGAGATTGTCATACCTTTCTTTACTTGTTTTAAAATTGAGAGACAACTGGCATGTAACATTACATTAGTTTCAGGTATACAACATAATGATGTGATATTTGTATGTATTGTGAAATGATCACCACACTAAGTCTAGCTAACATCCATTAGCACACCATTACAAATTTTTGTTTCTTCTTGGGATGAGAACTTTTAAGATCTACTCTCTTAGGAACTTTCAAATATAGAATGCAGTATTATTAATTATAGTCACCATGCTATACATTACAATACCAAGACTTATTTATTTTGTAACTGGAAGTGTGTAACTTTTGACAACATTCAGCTATTTTGCCTACCTTCCCCCCCGCCCCTGCCTCTGGCAACCATTAATTTGTTCTCTGTATCTATGAGTTGTTGTTGTTTTTTTAATTTTAGATTCTACATATAAGTGAGATCATATGATGTTTGCTTGCCCTGTCTTATTACACTTAGTATAATGTCCTCAAGGTCCATCCATCTTGTTGCAAATGGCAAGATTTCCTCCCTTTTTATGGCAAAATAATATTCCATTGTATAATGCATGTGTGTACTGCATTATACATTCATCCATCAATGGACACTTAGGTTGCCTTCCATATCCTGGCTATTGTAAATAACTGCAATGAAAATAGGGATCCACATATATTTTCAAGTTAGTGTTTTCATATCCTTTGGATAAATACCCATAAGTGGATTTACTGGATCATATGGTAATTCTATTTTTTATTTTCTGAGGATCTTCCATACTGTTTTCAATAGTGGCTACACCAATTTACATTCCCACTAATAGTGCACAAGAGTTACATTTCTTTCACATCCTTGCCAATACTTGTCATTCTCATTTTGATAATAGCCATTCTAACAGGTCTGAGGCTCACTGTGGTTTTGATTTGCATTTCCCTGATGATTAGTGATATTGAGCACCTTTTCAATGTACCTTTTGGCTATCTGTATGTCTTTAAAAAAATGTCTATTCAGATCCTCTGCCCATTTTTTAATTGGATTTTTTTTTCTATTGAGTTGTATGAGTTCTTAATATCTGGTGTCAAATCCAAAATATCACCTCCAAGACTGATGTCAAGGAGCTTACCATTTATGTTTTCTTCTAGGAGTTTTATGGTTTTAGGTAATAGGTACAAGTCTTTCATCTATTTTGAGTTAGCGTATGTGTTTCCTTTTCCCACTGAGCAAAGTCTCTAAGCCAGAACTCTGAATCTGAAGGTGAGACAGTGGTGTGCTTCCCTCTGAGTGACACCTTTGCTTTAGGAGATAAGCGCTTAGTAGAGGGGAAGCAGTTACCTCAGGTCTTTTTGGCTTGCCCTCCCCGTATGGAAACTCCACTTTACAGACAGGCAAAGGGTGATCAGGACCTCAATAGTCTCAGTGGGACCATGTCCAGGTTAAGGCCTCTATCCAAAGGGTTGGATTGGCCAGAAAGGGGTTCTTGACTACACATGCTCAGAACCTAGCCTCACAACAGGTGGCTGAGAGTAAGATGAGAAATGCTGAAGTCCTACCTCTCTCAGGAAAACAGTCCTCCCGCCTGGGAGGTGAGGAGAGAAGGAGCCCTGTGTTCTTGGCCATACCAGTCTGAAAGTTTCTGTCTTACTGAAGTGGAAGAAAACCTTTCACTGTATTTAACTGGGTTTTAGTCAATTTTCTTGAATAAGTGTTCTTCATTTGCTGTATGCTTTTAGAAACATTTCCAAGACTTTAAATGGTTATTTTTAAAATAACTTTCATCGTTTTCATTGGGGAGCACATCTGCAGAGTTTCTCAGGCTGTAATGCCAGATGTGGAACTCATAATAAGCACATGACATTGAATCTTTCACACTGTACACGTGATGACATTTTAAATGCGTGAGAACAAGTACTACATCTCAAAAAAGGTATTCACTATTTGGATTCTTTCTTAATTTTTACAGGTCAGTTATGCTTCAAATAAAGTATAGATATCAGTAAAAGAAATACTTTGCCACTTAAAAATAAATTTTTCTTCCAGGAGTCAAATCTAAAGTGATAATTCATACACTTGAATTTAGCATAGGAATGCTTTTAGTCAAATAGCAAATTACATTTACTTAGCTATCTTATGGGTCAGTTATTGTATAATGGCTACACAACGTTTTAAATTGGCTCCTATTAAATGTGTAAAAGTAAATAGTCATTTTAGGATTGAACTGTTGACCATAAAATGATGATTATGAATGCCTTAAATCTAATATATTTATACATAGAATGTCATGTCTCTATCACTTAGTTCAAATACTTCATAACTAATTTACATTCTTAATGATTAGTATAAGAAAATGTTTAAAAATACATTTTTTAACTTACCATATAAGGATCATACCCCAGAGAAAATAAGCATGGTTTTTCTTGTAAAATGGCTTCCTTCCATTTTTTATCAGATACCAAACCAATGTACCAGTCACTTTCATATTCTTCAAGGTAGTGAATCAGTTCTTTAAAGTCTTCTATTGGACCTAAACTTGCTTTATCAATCATTAATTTCAGGGTATACCTAAACAGGGGAGAAAGAATTTTAGAATTTTTATCAACTTTATAGGAGAACTAGATTTTGTTCAATCAATATCTTTAAGACATTAAACTGAAAAAATACATATTTCAGATAAAAAGGGAGAAATGATGGAGTTTAAGTGAAGGAATCCATATGAAAAACAGGTTCTCCACACAAAGAAAACAAAAGGAAGTACAAATTAAAGTATATTCCTGATATAATCACAATACATACTAAGCAATTTTTTCTTCAGTTTTAGTAATGTGACTATTCTTAAAAATTAGAAATGAAGGTGTATCTCCTTCTAGGTCACTTTAAAAATCAACATTTTTCTGCCAATGTTACAACTTGTATATAATCAAAATGAATTACCTGAAAGCTTTCAGTGCTAACTGAAACAGTTCTGGCTTTTCCGCCAGCCAATCCAAGGCAACCGACCAAGGCAAGACACCCTTGTAAACTCTCAGTATACGACCAGGACTAGGATCCATATTATCTACTCCAAATAAACTAAAATAACAAGTCATTACTACATGAACATAAATGTCTTTTAAAACTCTGTCCTTTGCAATTTCTTCCAGTACATTTGGGACATTTTCTTCCAAATGAAAACATTCCAGCTGCCTTAAGACAAATTGATACCATTCTTCTGGAAAAAATGAGCTCATCTCCCTCATTTTGGAATTAGGCAAACAGTTAGACATCCACTCTTCAGGTAAGCGTAACAAATGAGAATGAGAACAACTGAACTCCATGAGAGGAATATACATCATGTCTTCTTGATTTCCTTTGTCAATAGCAGGGTATCCCAAAAGAACTGCTTTGTAAAGACTATTTTCAGGAACTTTGCCTACAGAATGATCATCAATACCCTGTGATTCTACTGATCCTGGTATAGGCAAATTTATACTTTGCAAAACTTTCAACTGATCTTTTTCTTCCTTTCCTTTTTTGGTAGTTGGCTCATCACCAAAAATATCATCAGACCAGTCATCTGAAATTTCTGATTTTAAACTATCTGTGTCATCTGAGGATTGGGTTTGTGGTGAAGTGTTCAAAGCAGGCAGGATTATTAGAGATGCTTTCCCTTCATTTTCAGTTTTGTGAACATTCCCCTGTATGTGGGACCTTCTGGAGCAGTACTGAACCAGTATCCACACAAGTACTTTAACTAGGTCACCTTTAAATTCTCTTAAGTTATCATGAGAGTCTATTATGCCAGATAGGACATTCTTGGCATCAGAATAGAGTTTTACAGGCAAAACAGTACAGGGTGTCAAGACATTTCCAAAGTGTTTATTAATAGAACATATTCTTGTGTATTCTTGTTCGAAGGCACCTTCAAAAACTTCATCAACTCGTCGAGCTTCAGCAGTATGACAGGATGTCTCTTGCAATTCTAACCCCTAAAGAGGAAATTTAAAAGTATTCAAGTTTGTGATCACTTATTACACAGAGAAAAGCAATTAGTTTTGTAAATGCCCATGGATTATATTCTCAAAATAAAAATATTACAAATGCAAACATTTTCTTTAAACTCAAGAGCTACATCTTAAGTCAAACTTAATGGCACTTAAGATATCTGATGTTGGATACAGAGATAAAAAATAAATCCACTATTTCAAAAGAAATTATAGAAATTCCACTAGAATTTAACAAAACAATTTTATTGATATGACCATGATTTTGAAAGACTATATCTGTAGTCATTCTTAAAAACTTTTCTAAATTATACATTATTTTGGAGAAAAACAGTAAAATTGGAATTATACAATATGCACAGTTTAGTATCCTTTCCATCCTAGTTACGTGAGCATTATTTTATTGTGTGATGAAGTTTTTTACTATAATAAAATAATAATAGATTTATGTATTTGATTATTGTCTGACTCCTCTAACTACAATGTCAACTCCATAAAGCATCTCTCTTTAGGTTACTACTAAATCTGCAGTGCCTAATCCAGTACTACATGGCACACTGTAGCTATGTAAAAATATATGTTGAACAAATGAATATTATGAATAGTCTTATATGAATTTTAAACACATTTTGATTATGGCCCTGGAAGGAATCACTTGAGAAGGATGTACCAGGTCCTTATTTACTATTACTATTGTTTATTTACACATTTTTACAAAACTATCAGTGCCTTTAATAAAAGGTAATCCTGTCAGGTTCTATTACGATCCAGGGAGAGGACATGAAATATGACATCAGAATCCATTTTTAAATCATGGTTCTACCAGATGCTAGTCCACAATCCTGAGTAGGTCACCTAACCTCTTTGGGATTCCTTTTCCTTCTCTTTCAAAGAAAAATAATCCTAGAACATAGAGTTGTGAAGATTAAAATAAGCATTGAAAGTGCTTTGTAAACTTTAAGGCATTATATAAATGTTAGTAGATGGTATAGCTAAGCAAGCTTCTGTCCAGAAAAATTGAAAAAGAAAGAAAAAAAGACTGCTACTAAAAAGTATGTCTTTATACTACATGTCATGAAGCACAAAAGACCAAAAAAGGAACCACATTATTAGTTATTATAAAACCATACCACTTTAAAAATAGAACAAAAATGTCCTCAAAATTTTACATGATTTTTTGCCTTCTACTGGTACATGTTAGAGAAGTGGTTTTCAAACTTTATGTGAGTCAGAATCACTTGGAAGGCTTGTTAAAACAAAGATTGTTGAGCCCTCCCCCAGAGTAGGTCTGGGGTGGGATCCAAGAATTTCCATTTCTAACAAGTTCCCCCAGGAGATGTTACTATTACTAATCTGGGGAACTGCATTTTGAGAACAACTGGACCAAAGGAATAATTTTTGAGTCACCAGCAATTTTAACCAATCTGTGCTAAGACAAAAAATTCATTTACTATTCAGCAAATATTTATTAAGGGCCTATTATGTGCCAGGCTCTGTTTCAGGGGCTTAGAATACTCCAAATAAAAACAAAGATCCTTAACCTTGTGACATTTACATTAGCGAGTAGAGGGACACAGGCAATCAAAACAAAGCTAATAAGTAAATTACATAGTTTGTTAGAAAGTATAAGTGCTATGAAAACAAAGGAAAAGTAAAGCAAGGCAAGGAGGATTGGGAGTGCTGGCGTGCGAGTGGAAGTGTCATTTTAAACAGAATGGCCATGGTAGACCTCATTGAAAGGTGACATTTGGGCAAAGACGTAAAGGTGGTGAAGGAGTTAGCCGTGTTGTTATTTGAAGGAAGAGTGTTCCAGGGAGAGGGAAGAGCCAGCAGGCTGGAGGAGAGTGAGTGGGTTCAAGTAGTGAATGAGCCCAAAGAGGAAATAGGGAGCCTGATCATTTAGGGCCTTGGCTTTTACTCTGAATGAAAAAAAGATTCACTGTAGGGTTTAGAGTAAAGAAGCGACAATATCTGACTTAGATTTTAAAGATCATTCTAGTTGAGAATAGACTGTAGGGGGACACAGGTAGAAGCAGGAGATCAATTAGGAAGCTACTGCAATTATCCAGGAAAGGGATGAAGGTGGCTGAGAACAGGGTGGTGAGAAGGGGTGGGGCATGGGATATGGCTTAAAGACTGAGCCAACAGGATTTCTTGTTGGGTTGGATGTGGGGTAGAGAAGTAAACAAGGAGTCAAATACCACTGAACTAAAGCCCAAAGGTTCTTGGGCTAAGCAACCAAAAGGATGGCCTTGTCACCAAGGACTGCTTGGGTCTGGGGTACTCTGATATTAAGAGGTCAAGCAAAAGAGAACGAACCATCAAAAGAGACCAAGGAAGATTAACCCGTGAAACAAGCGAAAAAAAAGAGATCAATTGTGTCAAACGCTGCTGATAGGTCAAGTAAGACTGGGTCTGAGAATTGATCACTGGATTTAGCAATCTGACAGTCACGGGGGACCTTGGCAAGAGCAGTTTTTGGTGGAGCAATAGGCAGATAACAGGGTAAAAAACCTAGAGTAAGTTGAAGAGAGGATGGAAGAAATGAAACTGGAGATATGATTATAAGCAACTCTAATAAGGCATTTTCCTCTAAAAGGAAGGAGAAAAACAGGGCATTTCAGGTAGGGGCAGTGAGGTCAAAGGCTTTTAATTAAATTGAGAATGTTTATATGAAATAGGAGTAAAAATAATATTACTGAGTCACACTTTTGAGATATTCAACTAGACAGAGACAAAAAGAACAGGACTGGACAAAAAGAGTGAAGATATATTTTGATATTAATTTCCGTTACACAGTCAACACTAGTCTGTCTGTCAATATTTGTATATTGAAATATACTTTAAAAATCTCTAGTTGTTTTTACAGGTAATTAAAAGATACTCTTTCAAATTGAGCTATTAAGTGTTTGATATGTACATTAACAAGTACAATTTTACACACATGCTGTAAAAATATTACAGAGGTTTCAAATGCACATTGACCTTAATGTTAATACAGCAGTAAGTATAGCCACGTTCTAGAATCATTATCCATATTAAACGATCCTGAAAACGGCCCAAATAATGAGACCCAGGCAAGAGGAGACCTAAAAGAAAAAAAAAAAAAAAAGTAATTGTTCAAGCTTGTTTTATTTTGTTATGTGAATCTTCAAAATTGATAACACACTTGGAACTAATTCACAACTTCTCTGACCCTCCCTTTACATCAAGAATAGAAACAACTATTCATTGCATATTAGGAGGCATTAAGTTCTTTACAGGAACAGTTGATAGAAAAAATCCACAGGTAAATAATGCATAAGAAGTCAAGCATGTATTTTCCAGACAAACAATATATTAGAACCTGCTATGTAAAATCATAAATATTGGTTTGTCGGAAAAGTCATGATGTATTTTTTGTATGCTTTTCGTTGAAAAAAATGCATCATGACTTTTCTGACAACCCAACACATGTTAAATATATTAGGGAAAGTATTAAATACTGTATATAAAAGCCAACTTCACATTAATGATTTAAAACACTGTGGACATTTTTATATACATGCATATAAAATGTTTTATGGTGTTAAAAATTTATATAAAATGCTACCTACCACACTGAACAAATACTTTTAAAACTTAGTTTTTCTCTCAACATTATCTCTGAGATTTGCCCATGTCGACTGCAGTCATTCATTGAAACTGCATTGAAAATTCATTGTATGCTTCCAATTCATCACTATTTTAATAATGCTGCAGAAACCATCTTTGTGCCAATTTGCTTGTATAGGTGTTGTTCAGGAAAGAGTTAACAGCAGCATTGACTGCTATCCTTTGAAAGGCCTGCTTACAAAGTCGGCCACTGAGTGGCATCTGAGAACCTGTATTTCAGAAGCATTCTCAGCATCCTAACTGATAGAGTCTCTTGTGCCTAAACCGTGTGTGCAAACAATATTTTGGGTTGTCAGAAAAATCAAGACGCATTTTTGCAACGAAAAACATAGAAAAAATATGTCATGACTTTTCCGACAACCCAATAGTATATACTGAACACTGGCTTTCCTTTTGGGAGTCTGGAATTTTGGTATATGCTAGGAGGAGAGGGTGCCTATGTGACCATCCTGCAATAAAAGCCCTAGGCATTGAGTCTCAAGCTTCCCTGGTAGTCAACATATCACATATGTCACAACAGGTTCCTGGAGAATTAAGCACAATTAAGCACTTTCTGTGTGATTCCACTTGGGGGGAGGGGAAAGCCTGGAAGTTTCCATCTGATCTCTCTGGTCTCTTTTATCCCATGTGACTTTTCCCTTTGCTGATTTTGCTCCACATCCTTTTGCTATAAAATATCTTAGTTGTGAGTACAACTATATGCTGAATTCTGTGAGCCCTCCTAGCAAATCATAAAACCTAGGAATGGACTTGGGGACCCCAAAACAGATGTGTAAGAGTTTCTCTAGAATTGGAATCACTGGATCATGGATTCTAAAAATAGAATCCCTAGACCGTGGGATGTGTACATCTTTACTACAAGACTGCAAGTTTACTCTTTAAGGTGGTTGTACAAATTTACATATTCCCTTCCAGCAGGGTTTGAGAGTTCCTCTTCCCCATACCCTCGTCAGTACTTGGTAATGTCAGACTTTTTACATTTTTGCCAATCAGATGTGTGTAAAATGTTACCTCATTTTTGCCCCCAGGAAATACTTTCTAACGCATTTCTTGGTTGAGTGTAATTGACTTGAAAATTAAGTATAATTTCTACTTTATTACTAAGGTATTATTTCATATGTGAATTCAACCTTATAGGTATTTTAAAAAGTGGCATAGCATTGTGCAATAAAAATTAATTGGAGCTGGATAAAAGTATAAGTATAGAATATTTCCAAAGAAAAGGAAAATAATTATTCATAAAAATTATAATACAAAGATAAGGATTTTTCTGTTATCTAACATAATAGATAAATAGAAAAGTTCATATTTCATTCAAGTTCTAATTTTAAGTTGCTACTCTGCCTGGCATCAGTTTGCTAGGAAATCATCAGACATTTCTAAAATAAGTTCAGGGGCTAAGGCACATGGCAGGAGACAACACACTATTGTCATGAGCTTGTACCTTTTCTAAAACCAACCTTAAGAAGTATAGTATAGTTGAATTTGCAGTTAGTGTATGATGAAATTATAAAATTATCATAAAATTAGTTCATACTAATTTGCATGGCACTTCATTTTGGGAGCTTACTGATCCTTGACCAAAGCTTTCACATTGTCTTGCCCTGTAATCTTGTCAGACTGCTTAAATTGCTATATAATAACTAGTAAGATATAAATAAAATCCCTTAAGCTCTTCAATCTGATATTATATAAAGCTATTTTTCACTATGTTTAAGATATTGCATCTACTTGACAGGAATTCATTATTAAAATCATGGAAATTTTGGGAGATAACGTGTTTTCATGTTTCAATGGTGGGACTATAACCTGATTTTATTCAAGAAAATATTTTTTAAAAATTGTGAAATCACCTTAATGAAATTTTCCTTTAGAATTTTTCTTTTATAACTTCATTTACATCAAAATAAAGAGCAGGAGATATACTACTATATCATATTTAGTTTTTCTGCCTACACATTAAAGTGTTAGAATCTGTAAAATGCTTGGATCAAAAGACTTTTTCTGTGCATTCATTTTTTTGTACTTTAAATATATTAGTGAGGATTTCTTAAGTACAATCCACTTACTTACCTAAACTTCCAGCTACCATTGCAGACCGCAGTGCAGCCGTCAAACTTGGGACCATCTGGTAGTAGTAGACTGTATCTGCACACACGCTGGCTGCGGTGCCCACCACTCCTGGCCAACTCTGAGTAGGTCTGGGAAACCCCACGAAGAACAAAGGAAGGGTGAACAGGGGGACTAAGGGAGAAGAGAGTAGTGTAGAAAAAACTATGAAGACCAACACGAAGGGAGAGAAGACAATGTTGAGTATACATAAAGTGGTGGTTGATTTTCTACGTTTTTTCTCCATCCACGATGCCAAAAGTACAGTCACAGCAAATTGTAATTTAGAGATGAATTGAATCAGACGATCACGCATAATACCAACCTGTAGAGACATAGAATTTTTTTTATTCTTAAAGAAACTTTTTTATTATGTTTTTATTCTTAAATATGACCTTTTTTCTTATTCCCTTTTCTATTCATTTCATGAAGTTTCAAGATCATAAAAGGAAAACTAAATTTTATTATTGCCCCAATAGTTTTAAGGAAACAGCCTTTATGAGATTCTTTGTTATAATTTTCTCCAACTTCACAACTAATAAATGAGACTACTTTTATAAAAGTTTGAGTTCCCTTAAAAAAGAAAAACGTACCAAAGAGAACTCAGAGTATTATTTATACCTCAAGATTGAATAAGCTTCGCATGACATGCTTGCTAACTCATGAGAACTAAAAGTGGTAAATAGTGAAGCAACTAGCCTTAACTTATCCCTATTTTAGAGAGCATTTTACAGATTAATAAACAGAAGTCATACCATAAGTCAAACCTTAATAGATTGAAATCATACTAAGTATGTTCGTACAAATCATGTACAGTATGTTTTACAACCAAAATAGAATTAAATCAACAGTAGAAAGAAATATGAAGATTAAAAAGATGTATTCTTAAATAACCAATGGGTCAAAGAAGAAATCACAAGATAAAACAAGAAAATATTTTGAGATGAATGAAACAAAAACACAACATACCAAAACTTGTGATACAGCTAAAACAGTGCTCAGAGGGAAATTTATAGCTTTAAATGCCTATATTAAAAGAGAAGAAAGATCTTAAATCAATAACCTAATTTTCCACCTTAAAAAACTAGAGAAATAAGAAAACAAAGCGCAAACTAAAACTCAAGTAAGCAGAAGGAAGGAAATAATAAAGATTAAAGTGGTAATTAATAAAATAGAGAATAGAAAAACTGAGAACATCAATGAAATAAAAAGCTGTTTATTTGATCAACAAAACCAAGAAGTCTTTAGCTAGATCGACCAAGAAATAGAGAAGACTCAAATTAATTAAATAAGGAAAGAAAGAGGTAACATTACCGTCTTACAGAAAAAAATAAAAAGGCTTATAAGAGAATACCATGAACAACTGTATACCAATAAATTAGAGCACTTAGATGAAACTGACAAGTTTCCAAAATGACATAAATTATTGAAACCAACTCAAGAAATAGGAAATCGGAATAGACCTATAACAAGTAAAGAAATTGAGTAAGTAATTTAAAAGCTACCCACAGAGAAAAGTTGAGGCCCAGATGGCTTCCATACTATAAAATATTTAGGATAGATACTGAATACTGCAAAACATTTAAGAATAATTAATATGAAATTCCCAAATCATTCTATGAGGTCAGTGCTATTATAATATCTAAACCAAAGACATGACAAGAGAGCTACAGATACACACACACACACACACACACACACACACACACACACACATCACATCACATAAAAATGCTCAACAAAATATTAGCCAACCAAATCTTGCAACACATAAATAGGATTATATACCATGACCAAGTGGGATTTATTCCAGGAATACAGAGTTGGTTTAATAACCAAAAATCAATGTATTATACCATGTTAATAGATTCAAGGACTCAAACCACATGACCATTTCAACAGATGCAGAAAAAGCACTTGACAAAATCCATTATCTTCAAGATAAAAAGACTTAACTTGGAATAGAAGGAAATTTCTTCAACCTGATAAAGAGTATGTATGAAAAACCAATAGTTGATATATTTAATGGTAAAAGACTGACATCAACTTAATTAGGAAAGACTGCTTTCCTCATAGGAAGTCCATTCTTACCCCTTCTACTCAACATTATAGTAGAGGTTCTAGCCAGGGTAATTAGGTAAGAAAAAGAAATGAAGGACATATAGATTGGAAAGGAAGAAGTAAAACCATCTTTGCTATTTCTAATTTGCAGATGAAATGATCTTATATACAGAAACATCCTAAGAAATCTACTAAAAATCTATTAGAATATAGGAGTTTAGTGGAATTTCAGGACATAAGATTAATATTTAAAACATCAATTGTATTCTATACCATAGGAGTAAACAAGCCAAAATAATGAATTAAGGAAACAATACCATTTATATAATAAAAAATACAATAAAAAAGAATAAAATACTGATACATGCTACAATATGGGTGAACCTTGAAAACATAAGTGAGAAGCCAGATGTAAAAGACTACATCTTTTTCATAGTTCCATTCATGTGAAATGTCTAAAACAAACAAATCCACAGAGACAGAAAGTAGATTAATGGCTGTTGGGGCTGGATGGGATGGAGGGTAGGAACGGGGAATGACTAGTAATGCATATGAGGTTTCTTTTTGGGACGCTGAAAATTTTCTAAATTAGATTGTGGTGATGGCTGCAAAATTCTGAATATATACCACTGAACTGCACACTTTAAGTGGGTAAGTTTATGGTATATGAAATACATCTCAATGAAGCTATTAAAAAATACATTTACCAGTAAGAGTCTGATTCCTGTGTCCAGGCTTCTGTTCCACCAGACATCTGTACTGGAGGTCAGCATGTGCACTGCTGACACAATGGCTATCTCCAATAAAGCATTTTCTGTATTCTGCCATACCTGCCATACACAAATTACCCACTTTATTGGGTAGAATTTGATAACGTAGGTAAACTATTAGAGTAAACAAAGCCACAATTAAATTTAGGAATAGGAAAATATTATTAAGTGCATGTCAGGATTACCATTCTAAAAGCTCTTGTGAATCCAATGGAGACAGACACAGAGTGCAGCCCTTGTAAGGACGTGTCCAACGAAAGAAATGCTATCATAGCAAAAGGTGACACTAAGACAAACAGAAAAAGACAAATCTAATTAAGGCAATATAACCCCTTCTAGCAAATTTTATTTTGGCCAATATGAGTTTTTTTTAATGTACATTTAAGCAAGTAATTGGAAAAAAAAACCCCAACCCCTAATAAATGAACAAACCAAACCATAAAAGAATAAACACTGTATGATGTATAGTATTACACAAATATAGGAATTTCATATTTCTGTACACTTCATAGATAAAACACAAGGTTAGTAGATTTTACCTTCCTACCTAGATTTAGCAAAATCCGTCTGACAACACCAATCTTCACAAGCTTTGCTTGCTTCTCTAAGAATAACGTCATAGTTTGCACATCCTTTGGATAGAAAGGATTTCGAAAAATTCCAAAGATATAGACACTTTGAATTTCTCTAAGTATCCATAGTGTTGTAAGTAATACCATCAAAATATAGCCAACAATAGCTTGGGGACTGTTTTTGGAAATCTGTGAGCAACAAGCAAAGTGATGCAGCAAAGCACTTTCTAGGAGAGCCAAGACTAATATCATGATGTAGAAAAGGCATTCCTTCCAAGTAAGTTGTTTTTCTGAACCACTGGGTAAGGCCTTAGATTTGGTTCCAACTCTGTGTCTGGTCACACTGTGTTTGAAGACAAAACCCATCTCACTTAGGTTAAGACTCAGTAAGAACCCAAGTCCAGTCATGAAAAGAACCACTCCAATAGTGCTGGGAATGAAATACGATGTTATAGCTGTTCCAGCAGAAACGATGAACATTATTAATAACCTGCAGAGAAGAAAGAAAATTTGCTTGAAAAGAAAAAAAAATTCTTTAAGAATAAGTTACATATAACTTTAATATTTAAAATAATTACCGTGGATGGGTTGACACAGATGAGCCTCCAAGGCCAAACTCTAAAACCTGCTCCATTGCCCATAAGAAAAGTGCATCAGGCGGGGGCAGAGTCCCGAGTGCCCACAGAAAGGGTAAAAATATAAACAAGATGTGTAAAATCTGATTCATTTGTTCTAGAGCTGGTATATTTACCGTAAACCTGCAGGAAAAAGAAAATAAATCATACACAATAATATATAGAAGAGGATCTTCCCAGGAAAAACAAAACCACATACAACCCACCCCACATACCATCCCCCTTAAAAAGGACATTTACAGAAGGTTCCTAGTCCCAATTTGCAAAAGATCAACACACATAAATTGTTATTATTGTCCTTCCCCTACATCAGGAACTACCCGGACTCAGTAGTGTCCGAGTTTAGCATTAGAGAATATGTGGATTCAAATGTGGAAAGAAGGAAGATGTAATTAAAAATACTTTTCTAAGTAAAACTGAATTTAGGAATCTGTAAAACTGAACTGAGCCCAGAGCAAAAATATTTCTCCCTTAAATGTCTAAACTACACTGGCTGAAATTCCACCAATGATGCTTTAGAGTGTAAAATTTTTAAATTTAAAATTGCAAGTAACTCTGAGAAAGCCAACACCTTACTGCTGTTCACACATTAGTAACTACCAATGAGAGGAAGCTCATCCCTTTTTCCTACTCTTTCCTGTACTATCTTGTTCCCAAGTTCCAGAATTTGAAGTCAGTACAGTTAATATCAGAAGTTAGCAAATTAGGTTTGAACTTGTCTCTGTGGGCTGCCTGGAAACTTAACGAGCACTCATAATATTGTTTCTATTTTGTACATACAGTGGTAGGGGCACAATCTCAAATTAGAGATGGCTTCTCTTAAGTAAACAAACTGGTTCTTGATCCAGCCCTGACCAGTTAAATATAACATCATTAAATGATTTGAAATAATTTAATAAGAGAAGAATAAACATTACCAATATGTTACTAATTTTTTGGAATGAGGCTAACCAAACATCTTGTCTGGAAACCAACAATGTCATAGAACTGACAGAGTTCCAGAGATAACTTTCAAAAGAGAAAACTAAATTTATAACATAACTGTACTTGAATACCTGAGCTGCTGCTAGGCATCAAAGTCAAGGAGAAAGGCAACGTCTGTAATCATCACCACTTACAGGTGCGTTAACAGTCCAGAAGCAAATGTAACAGGTATGGATATAATAATGACATAATGTGTTTGCTCACACACATACCAGGACAATGCCAGCTAATGCACTGTCTCATAATGTATGTCCTTCAAATTTTTATAAGCAGAGAATTAATGAACACAAGGTTAACAATGTAATCCTAAATTAGAAAATACTTTCTGTAGTATGGTTTTAAAATAAAATTCATTTCTTTCTGAGAAGAAAACACTGAAGAAGCAAAGGAAATCAAATCACATACAATAAGCCACAGGAAGGTCAAGGAAAATATGCAGATTTGTACAGCTTTTTTTCTTTTTGAAGACAACACTTCTCTTGTTAACATATTCAAGGATAGGATAATTTGTGTAAAAATAATGTGCTCAGGAAATATTTTACCCACATTCTATTTACCACCCAAATCTCTTTTTGTTCTTAACGTAAATGATAAGCAATGGCACAGAAAAATATTTATACCCAATGATATCATAAATAAATATAAGGACATGTAACTGAAGTAACCAAACACTGGTTACTTTCCTGTGTATATGACACAGCCCCAATAGAATATTATTGTGGTTAACTTATATGAAAAAACATTTTAAAATTCTAATGTTTCTGATAATGAATGTAACAGGAACTTGATACAGCAAAAATTTAAGCCCTCAAGAAAATCACTGTGTTGAATCAAATAGCCATAAAAATATTTCAACATCTACACACTTGCTATGATCCACATGCTCAGAAAAAAAGATTTTTTTATAGTAGTCAAAATGATGTAAATATGCACCATTCATTCAAACAATTCCTTAGAGTCTATGAACAAAGCATTGTAGACTTAACACTTGTCTTTGATAAAACTGCACAGAAAGAATCATTTGAGTTATTAATACATAACTGTACTGGGTAGAAAAAAGAACAGAAAAAGAGAAAAAGATGACAACACTGGGGAACTCATCTCTTCATTGTTCACATTCTCTGAAATAAAATAATTTGATATATTTAACAACTGTCCAAATTTGAAGTATACATATTTCATATATTACTTATCTGTAGTATCATACCTATTGTACACAAAAATATCATTTAAAAAAGTAGATTTGATCAGCTTTTGTCTTTTTAAAGTTAAAATTTTTCTTTACAATGATCAAACTGTAAACATTTAAACTGTATATTAAATCCAACTACAATGTAAAGAAAAACATTTTATGCTCTTAGAAATGAGTAATGCATAAAGTCAAGGTAACCAACTTATAAATTAACTGTCTGAGATTTTCTTTTAATTTAAATGCAAAGATGTATTAGCAGGTATGTAATTTCTGATTTTAGAAATGGCACAGTGAGATAGTAAGTTAATAACCTGTATTCTGAAAATAATAGTCCTATAAACTTAAATCATTTAAAAGAGGTCAAATGTACATACATACATACATTTAAACTCAACTTTATTGCTAACTTTTCAAAATCAAGCATTTAACTGTAATATATTTGATAGTTAGTAAATGGTAGTGGTACTAAGAAACCAATTATAAATGAATTTCCCATAAATGACTTCTCCCCTTACACGTTAGATTAGGGGGAGATCTACAAGGGTATTACCATGCCCAATGGTCCATAGATGTAGCACAAGGAGAAGAGATTAAGAATTAAGGAATAGCAGACACCTAAGAATAGGTCAGTTTCAGTACACAAACTGGCTAAGTATTTTTAAATGCCTTGTTTTATTTTGGGCTGCCATAACAAAATACCAGAGACTAGGTGGCTCAAACAATAGAAATTTCTCACAGTTGTGGGAGCAGAAGGTATGAGATCAGAGTGCCTCCATGGTGGGTTTCTAGTGAGAACTCTCTTCTGGGCATGCAGACAGCCGTCTTCTCATTGCATCCCCACATGGCAGAGAGGGATCAGCGTCTCTGGTGTCTCTCCTTACAAGGCAGCGATTCTCAACCTTTCAAAGGGGTCACCTAAGACCATCGGAAAACACATATTTTCGACGGTCTTAGGAACCGAGACACCGCTCCTCTACCCGTCTCCAGGCCCACATGCAGATACGCCCACATACGAGTACCCGGCGACCCCTGTGAAAGGGTCGTTCGACCCCCAAAGGGGTCGTGACCCACAGGTTGAGAACCGCTGTTAAGGGCACTAATCCCATCAGACTAGGACCAACCTGATTACTAATTACTTTCCAAAGACTCCATCCATCTCCAAATACCATCACATTGGGGCTAGGGCTTCAACGTGTGAATTTGAGGGGACATGTACCTTCAGTCTTTTAACATTCCACCTGGGTCTCCCAAATTCATATTCTTATATGCAAAATACATTAATTCCACCCCAACAGCCCCAAGAGTTTTAAGTCATTCCAGCATCAATTCTAAAGTCCAAAGTTTCATTTAAATCAGGTAAAGGTAAGACTCAAGGTACCATTCGTCCTGAGGCAAAATTCCTCTCCAGCTGTGAACCTGTGAAATGAGACAAGTTATGTGCTTCCAAAATACAATGGTGGGAGAGGCACAGGATAGACAGTCCTATTCCAACAGGAGAAGCAGGAAGGAAGGAAAGTGTGACGGGTCCAAATTCCATTGTATCTTAAGGCTGGAGAATAATCCTCTTTGGTTCCATCCTCTGCCACCCAAACAGCTCTAGGTGGGGGTCCTATCCCCTCTGCAGGACTGCAACAGCCCAAGGCTTCCAACAGTGGCCTTCTAGCTTGTTGAAACTGAGGCACTTGTCCTGATAATCGATAAATTACTTTTGGGGTCATTTTTCCCTCTTCTTAAAGAACAGTATATGTTTATAGCCAAATAGGTCTATATCCCCCTGTCAAATCTAAGAAGTCTGACAACCTTTATTTACTTCATTTTGTGTCAGTCCCCTTTCATTCAAACTGACAGTGTTTCTGCTCATATAATCTCATAAACCCTTTATTTAGCGATAGTCCAGCCGCACCCTTGGTGTGCTCTTTAGAACATGCTTTCTCATTTTTTTGCAATATGAATAGACCAAAAATTTTCCAGATCTTCATGTTCTGGTTCCTTTTTGCTTAGTAATTCCTTCAATTTATCTCTCTTTTCTTGTATTTTACTATAAGCAGTCAGGAGGAATCAAGCTGTTCCTTCAACACTTCGCTTAGAAATCTGCTCAGATATATATCCAATTTCATCAGTCTCAAGTTCTACCCTCCACAAAACATCAGGAAATGGTTTACCCAAGTTCTTTGCCACTTTATGACAAGGGTTGCCTTTTCTCCAGTTTCTAATAACACGTTCTCATTTCTGTCTGAGACCTCACCAGAATTGCCTTCATGTCCGTTTTTCTTGCATACACCTCAAAACTCTTCCAGCCTCCATCCACTACCCAGTTTCAAAGCTGCTTCTACACTTTTAGGTTATTTGTTACAGGAGCATTCTCACCTCTTGGTATGAAAATCGGTCTTTAGTCAGCTTGGGCTGTCATAACAAAATACTGCAGACTGGGTGGCTTAAATAACAGAAATTTATTCCTCACAGTTCTGGAGGCTGGACGCCTGAGATCACAGTGGCATTATGGTTAGGTTCTGGTGAGAACTCTCCTCCTGGCTTGCAGATAGTCAGCTTCTCAATGTATCTTCATAGGGTAGCAAGAGAATGATCAAATGCTCTGATATCTCTTCTTATAAGGGCACTAATCCCATCAGAGCAGGACCCCACCCTCATTATCCTAATTTCCTCCCAAAGACCCCATCTCCAAATACCATCACATGGGGAGTTAGAGCTTTAAACATATGGGAACACAAACATTTAGTCTATAACATGACTGTACATTTCTACCTCGACACTAAACTATGAAAGAGAAAGCTGCAATCTAAAGAAACAGGTAAAGAAAAGTTAGATTTAGAAAAGGCAAACAAAAGGGGTTATCAAACAATTTTGTAAAGTTTTGTTAAAAAACACATTTTCTATTTTTCTTCTGTAGCAATCACTATTTCTTCTATATAGTTACTATAACAAAATTAGAAAATTATTCTTTTCATCTTAAATTCAATCTGTACATAATATTTATGCATATACATTTTTAATTCACTTTCCCCTCACAAAGTTCCATCTCTTTTCAAATAGAATTCAGCCAGGCTATCTTATAGATTCATTGCTCCTTATTTAAGTGGAACACACGATTGAAGTTTTGCTTATTTATCTTATAAAAGGTTTTCTTTTTACTCTTCAATAAGATTTAATTACTGCTTTAGTATGTATGTTTACCAGAGATTAGTCCGAAGAGATTAATCATCGAAAAAACCTATTACCCAATGGTTTGGTCTTGATGACTTCCAATTCACAGATTCATTTTTTTTACTACTAAGGAGAGGGCTCTTATTGTGTATGCTTAAAAACAAAGCAAGTTATAAAGTATTTGATAGCTTATTACCTGTGTGTAAGATCTACAAAAACAAAGAAAAAAATATACAGAGGTCTCATAAGAGGAGTGATTTCATAAGTATCCTGGGTTTGGAAAGTTGCAGTCTCTATAGCCGTGTTTACAATTAATGAATATTCTCCAATACATAACGTCATCCATCCAAAAAACACCAGTACAGCAGTGCCTCCTGCACTGCCATACAGCAAGGTTATTCTCTTGGGGAGCAGATACCATGTTCCAAGACCACACACTAAACCAGCAAGAACAGAATGAAAAACCGTATTGGCTACATATTTCTTGCCAGGAATTAGAAATTTGACAGTCTCAGCACCAGCACAACTTGTAAATTCATGCTCATCTTCCTCTGCTAAGATATCTGTGGTTAGCATTCTTTCTACCGTCACTGATTTATTTCTGGCATATAAACTTGTGAACTGGATGACAAATGCAGTGAAAAGCATTAGTCCACCTGAGAGTGCTGCTGTGTAATAATCTTCCAGGATGCCTAATTGGTACAAAAGAGTTCCTATTCCACCCAAAATGCATGGCATCAGAAAAAGGATAATTTGATTAACATAGATGTAAGGAGGGGCACAGAAGCCTAATTTGAGCCGTGGGCCTCCCAGAACAGTCCGTAGAAAGCGCTTCAGAAAGAAGTCCTTTTTGTAATCATTCAGCAGAGGCACATCTGGACTCATCCTTCTCACTCAGGGTTATTCTGAAAGCACATCCTTTTCTGTAACACAGCAGTCTCTAAAAAACAAAGGAAAGAGGTCACTATTTGAAAATGTCATACTTAAAACATAGGTGTGAGGAACCCCACGGTTCTGTGTTATCTCCTTAGTTCCTTCAAGAGCAGAATTTCTCTAGTTCCTCCCCATTGCCTGACACATACTTGGCACTAAACAAAGAGTTGCTAAATTGTTTTTTGTTTAAAAAAAAAAGTATATCCATTACTAAGTTATCTAGAACTTACTATTTGGAAGTAGATATTAAGCTAACTCATGTTTTTAGATTTTGAAGACAAAGCGAAGTTCAAAAAACCAATACTTTCAAACTCACATCTGCCAGTGGTTTAACTGATCATTTCCCTGAGAGCTTTCGTTGTTTGTTTCAGTTTTTCCACTACTATGAGGTTCAGCAAACTTTTTCTGTAAATATTTCAGTAAATATTTCAGGCTTTGTGGACCACATGGTCTCTGTTACAATGACTCAACTCTGCTGCTGTAGCAGAAAGGTAGCCATCTATAACACATACATAAATGGATATAAGTGGCTGTGTTCCAATAAAACTTTACATTTACCCAAACAGGCTGTGGGCCAGATGTAGCCTGAAGTCACAGTTTACCAACCCCTGCCCTAGAAAATAAAGATATTCTCTGTAATTCCCTTGAATTACAATGGGCATAGAAGTGGAAAACAAATAGAAATAATGTTAGTCACATCACTTAGTTATAATAAATTTAGGATTTTCCAATAATTTCAAAGGTCAAATCCTGCTAAAATAGTAGCATTTCAATAAAAAGTCACTGGCAGCTCAATGTGTAGTAGGAAGAACAATGAACTGGAAATCAAAAGACTAGCTGTCAGAGTAATTCTTATTAGTTATGTTACCATAGGCAAACCACTTCATGATTCAAATTTTAGTCTCTCTGTTGTCAGTTTCCACAAAATCTGCCAGCACTAGGAAAGCACTTGAAACAATAAAAGGACCTGTACATGATTTAGTCTAGAGTATTTTAATTTAAGGGCTACAAAAATCTAAGAATCAGGTAATATGGATTCTCTACTTTTCCTTTTCCTGGGATATACTCAGTAGCTTATTCTGAAAAACAGTTGCTTGACACAAGGTCAGCTAGCAGAGTATTACCTCAGGGATATGTTGGGCTAGGAAAGAAAAATTATGTTTAAAGCCATCTTCAGATAGAACAATGGAATAGACTAGAGAGCCCAGAAATAAATCCTTACATGGATGGTCAAATATTTGAAAAGGGTGCCAAGACCATTCAATGGGGGAAAGCACAGTCTCAGCAACAAATGGTGCTGGGAAAACTGGACATCCGCATGCAAAAGACCTACCTGACACCACATACAAAAACTCAACATGGATCAAAGGACCTAAAACAATAAAACACAAGACAAAAGCTTCCAAAATTCAATTGGCAATGACTTCTTGGATATGAAAATGTACAGGTAACAAAAGAAAAAATAGAAAATTAGACTTCATAAAAATTAAAGAATTGTGTGCATCACAAGAACTATCAACAGCATGAAAAGGCAACCCACAGAATGGGAGAAAATATTTGCATATCATATACCTGATAAAAGACTAATATCCAAAATATATAGAGAACTCCTAAAACTCAACAACAACAAAACAAACAACCCAATTAAAAAACTGGCAAAGGACTTAAATAGACATTTCTCCAAAGATGTAAAAATTCCAATAAACAAATGAAAAGATGCTCAACATCACTAAGCATTAGGGAAATGCCAATCAAAACTATAATGAAATATTACCTCACACCCATTAAAATGTATACTAACAGAAAAACAAAAAACAAGTATTGGCGAGGACCCGGAAAAATTGGAGCCCTTGTACACTGTTGATAGAAATGTAAAATGGTACATTCTCTGTGGAAAACATTATGGCGGTTCCTCAAAAAATTAAAAATTGAATTACAATATGACCTAGGAATTCCATTTCTGGATATATACCCCCAAGAATTGAAAGTAGGGTCTCAAAGAGATATTTGTATACCCATGTTCACAGCAGCATTATTTACAATAACTACACTGTGGAAGCAACCCTAATGTCCACTGAAGGATGAATGGATAAGCAAAATGTGGCATATACTTACAAGGGAATATTATCCAGCCTTAAAAAGGAAGGAAATCCTGCAATATGCTACAACATTGATGAAACTTGAGGACATAATGCTATATGAAATAAGCCACTCACAATAAGACAAATACTGTATTATTCTACTTATGCGAGGTACTTTGAATAATTAAAATCAGGGGGCCGGCTGAGTGGCTCAGTTGGTTAAGAGCATGTGCAAGAGTGTGAGCTCTGAGCAACAGGGTCACTGGTTTGATTCCCAGCCCCAGCTGAGCTGCCGCTGAGCTGCCAACAGGTGGCAGGATGGCTCAGCTAAAAAACAAACAAACAAACAAACAAAAATAAATAAAATCATAGGTAGGTAGTAGAATGGTGGTTACCATGGGTTGGAGGAAGAGGAGAATGGGGAGTTACTGTTTAATGGATATAGTTTTACAAGATGAAAAGAGTCATGGGGATGGATGGCTGATAAGTGGTATTAAGTACGTGATAATGTACTTAATACCACTGAACTGTACACTGAAAAATGATTAAGATGGTAAACTTTGTTATCTGTATTTTTACCACGAACAAAAAACTCAAAGTCATTATAAAATAGCCTATCTCCCCGTCAGTTTAAAATGGTCTTTCTGAAAGTCAGTTCTACCCAGCCAAAATCAGCCCTGGAGAGAGCTTTTAGGCATTCACGAAAGGTTTTGGGGTCACTATTAAGAATTACTGCCTTAGAACACCTCATTATATTAAGAAATTCTTAAACTATAAACATTTATTGTCTTATATTTCCAAGCCATCGGTCTTGGTTCTGTCCAGAACAAGTCAGAGCTTTTACTCACATGACAGCCCTCCAAGTACTCACAAAACAGAACCATGGGGCCAAATGGAGCCTTAGTGGTTGATGGTTCAATCTCAGGGAATGAAGATTGCCTCCCTCCCCTCAGAATGAGCTTATCTCCTGTACTGAGTCAGGCTCAGTGTACTGTATTGATAAGATCATTTTGTAGAAGCCATAGGGTAAATAAAGGCACAGTCCTGTGATTGGAGGTCAACATTCTGATTTCAATTATCTATGGATCATGCCATCAGACAGGGAAATGAACTTGGATGGCTGGCCTGGGGTTTTTGAAGAGTGTGGATGTGCCTAAAATGTCTCCAGGGAGTTAGGAAAAACTGGCCCCTCCAGCTCCACTGAAGCAAGTCAGGAACAAGGTGAAATGACTTGCTGGGAAAGGAAGCCAAAAACTTAAGCTACCTTAGAAGCCAGATTATCTTGTTGCATGTTACTACTCACATGCATTTAACTTTTAATACACCTGAGTCTTTTGTAAAATTTAATTTAAATGTTCTTACCCATTAGATAGAATACTCTGTGATTGTATTCCAAACAGAATATTGTGAAGACCTGTTGATGTGGGAACATGGAAAGATGCCCACGATATATTGAAAAGTAATACAAATACTGATGATTCCATTTTTTAAAAAAGAATACATAGGGCCGGCTGAGTGGCGCGTTTGTTAAGAGCTGGTTTGGGACACCAGAGGACCCCGGTTCGGATCCCACATATGAGGGCCAGTGACACTGCCCTCTACAGCTAAGATGCTGAACAACAGCTCAACCTGGAATTGGGCTGCCAAGAGTTGCTGACAACGGCGTAGGATGCAGCCCCTGCTGCAGTGGATTGCCATGGGCTACCGTGTGTAGCCAGCAGCCAGTGTGAGCGGCTGTTCAGAAGCCAGCGCTTGATCTGCCTGGCCCGGGAAGAGCGTGATGATGGTGCCAGGTTGGGCCAGTGAAGCAACGTCCTCCACAACTAGACTGAAGAACAAAAGGACAGCAACTTGTCTGTTCCCCTTCCCCCAATTCCCCAATAAAAATCTTAAAAAATATATACATACACTTGTGTATACACCTTTGTTTGTTTGTATTTGTATAAAAAGATTCAGAAGACATACATACTAGGTTGTTCATGTATTTTACATATAACATTTTCACACCTCTTTAAATTACCAAATATCCTCTAGAACTCTCAACCCAATGCCCTGAAAACACATCGTGCGCTTTTCATTCTGGGTGCCTCTGTTGTCCTTTGCCTAGTCAGCTTCTCTCTTCCCTAATTAATAATCTTAGTCAACAATCAAGATTGACTCTACTTTCTGAAAATTTTGCAGAGCATTTAGGCAAAATTGTGCCTCTCTTCTCTCTGTACATCAAAAACATTGCTTGTTCATACTACTCATCTCGTAACATATATCAACATAAGGCATTTCTTGGATTGTTCACCTCTTCACATGTTCTCTTCATATGTATTTTTTCTCTCAACTAATAAATTATTTGTCGGTAGAGGCCAAATCTTGAGATACTTCTGATTCTCCATAATATTTAGTAAAATACCTTGGCATGGAGAGGCATGTATATAGTGATGGCTTTGCTTAAATGATTAAAGTTGGAAAACATTAAATATTGCATTTAAAAGGGAAGTTGAGTTTTTACTGTTTTTGAAAACTTCTTCCAGCACATCTTGTCCCATTTTAAACACTAAACCCATAAGTTGTTTATTCCCAGTTTTTAATTGTTTGTAAAGTATCTTTTTTATTATGGAATAAATAATGGTATCTACTGATAGTAGTATTCTTTCAGAGAAGATTTTGCCTAGAGCAGTATATCCCAAAGCAGTATAGGAGCAGGATGGGCCTGAGGGATAAACATGGCTTGGTTTCTCCCATGGAGAAGGAAATGGCTGGAGAATTTTGACATGTCAGAAGTCCATTTTTAATTTGTTCCCTATCCTATGCTACACTTTCATTTTCTTCATTATAAAGATGGAGGAGCTAGTTCATACCAGGAGAGAAAGGCAGAGGTAGAACAGAAGGCACAACAGGCAAAATAAGGCAGGGGCAATTAATAATGAAGTGA